CTATTTTATTTTAGTATGATATACTATTATATTTAAACTATATATTTTCCTTTTCTTAATTCTTAAATTTTAACCTTTCATACTTTTGATTTACATGAAACCATTTTAATTATATTATTATTTAAGATATTTTTTTCCAAGCACATTTGACAAATACTTAACAAATCAACATAAATAAATAGAATATTTTAATAAAGTTAGTGAAAAATTTTAATACCATTATAAATGTTGTTATAAAATTATTAAATATGATTTTTTCTTTCAAATACAATTGATGGATAATTAGCAAATCGACGTAGATAGACGTTTTTTTTTTATGATTTAATAAATCTATGGAAAATTAACTAAGTGTTTTATATTGCTTGATTTAGAAGCATTTCCTTTATTTTTTGTATTTTAATACTCTTTGAATTTATGGTATACTAACTTTAGAAAATTAAAATAATATTATGATATAAAAATGCAGAACAGTGGCATCAAAGGTTTAGTTTGTATATTAAGACTATGTTTGACCCCCATTTGTCAAAAAACACTTTTTTTTCAAAATTTATTTTTAATCACACATTTTTTTCATAAAATAATTTTAGACGTAAATTGAAAACTTTTGTTTTTTTTTTTAATCACACATTCTCCAAAAATTTACTATCCCACCAAATTGAGGCTCAAATAAGGGTTAAATGAAAAATTAATACTCATAAAAAAATATGATTAAGATTAAATAAGAAAACAAATATAATTATATATACAAGTATAAGATAAGATAGAAGGACAAAGTGAGAAATTTATGTTAAGGGGTCGAAAATATTTGAAAAATGAGGGGTGTCTCTGTAATGTTATAAACTTTAGGGATGTTTCTGAAATTTGTTCTAAAATCCTATTTGCGTAGTGCACAATATTTAGCCCTTGTTTGATTCTTATTATTTTTAAAATATATTTTTCTTTCTTTTCTTTTCAATTGTACATTATTTAATAAAATAATATTATATGTAAACTCAAAAATAAAAAATTCTTCTTTTTTAATCAGACATTCTCCATCAATCTATTATTTCAAAATGCGTTCTTAAAATAAAACGGGACTGAAACATGCTCTTAAAATCTTATTCGTGTTGTTTAGAGTGTGTTTGGTAGGGATTTTTTGGGGAGGAATTGATTTTTAAATAGTGATATGATGGGAAATATGTGGTTAAAAAAGAAGGAAAAATTATTGATGTGATGGAAAATATTATTTTATTGAAAAATGTGTAGTTGAAAATGAGTAAAAAAATAAGAATGAAAAAATTAATATGGTTCAAACATGGCCTAACTTGGAAGGAGAGATTTTTGGGGGAAGAATTGATTTTGAATAGTGATATGATGGGAAATGTGTGGTTGAAAAAGAAGAAAAAATTATTGATGTGATGGAAAATATTATTTTATTGAAAAATGTGTGATTGAAAATGAAAATTGATTTACTGTAGAAAATGAGAATCTGTACCAAACAGACCCTTAATATTGTCGAACAATTCTGTCCAATAAACAATTTAGATGATTAATCAAGTTTAAATGTCAATAGACACATTTATTAAAAATATAAGATCGTCCATATTTTAAAGAATCAATGCTTAAAAATAAGTTTAAGAGAATCTAAGTTTTATTTTTTAGAATAGAACTTACCCTCTATTCTTACTTTATAATTATTGCATTTAAATAAATTGCACGTTTCAAGAATTTACTTAAATTATTCAAATCATATTTGAATTTGTTCGGCAATTACATATAAGAATTTATATAAAATAAAAAACTAGGAGTAATTAAATAAAAAACCAAAATAAAGCAAAATGAAAGGCCAAATAGAGAATTGTTGAAGTGTATAAAAAAAATTTGTTCTCTAAATTTAAAAATACTATCTATTATGTATAATATATTCTTTATAAATAAAGTGTTTTTTGAAAATACTCTAAGAGCATGGTGGTCAGGTAAAATCCACAAACACACGGAATCGTTCACAAGTAAATAGATAGAGTGAGTTGAGAGTTATCGTCCCACGAAAAATAATGTTTAATTTCAATTAACTAGTTCTATCAAATTCAATATGTGGTAACATAAAAGAATTTTGGATGATTTTCTAAACCAATTTTATCAAAGAAAGCAATTAAAATGAGGTTTTTATCGAATATCTAACCAATGTGTTGAATTTTAGAATCCACCTATTGGTCTCTAGTTCCAATTCTCGACTTGTGTAATTTAGCCTCATTATATGTTTATGACAATTAATAATCCTTTAATATCTAATATTCTCTCCCAAGATATATTAAATTTATACTTAACATAACACAATCATATTCCTAATTCGAGTTCATATGAAAAGCATGCATTTAATCACATGATTATTTCACACAATTACACGCGACATAAATATTATTCATAATATCTATTGTCCAAGTGTTAAATACGCAATGTTCTACCTATTGTGAATCTCCCAATACTACAAATAGAAAATAAGTTATTTAAATGGTGATCAAAGATTCAAACAACACATAATTAATGCATATTTAATCAAGAACACAATAATTAACTAAAATTACTCTAGTCTTGAATTGAAAACTATAAATCAAAAGGTTTCATTATCCATCCAATACATGAAGAATTTTAGCCTATCGTATATATAATAAAATTACACTAAAAGAATTGAAAAGACATCACCCAGAACTAAGAAATAATGATGAAATATGAATTTTTCACATTCTTGACTTGAATCTTAAAATCCGATAAATAATTTTCAATTTTGTATGCAAGTCGCCTTGATTTTATCTTGCTAGCCTCTCTCTTCACCTTCAAAATATGTGGAATATGATGAAAATTAGGTCTAATAGAGGTTGGGGATGTTCTGGTCAAATTTTGGAATATATAGGATGCCAAAAAGGATGCCTAGAATTGTTACCAAACAAAAACTAGGAAAAAAAAATGATTTTTCCCCATTTTACCTTGGGGTGTGCGCCTAGACTTTGGGCGTGTTGGTAGTTTTGGAGTTACAGGAAGTCTCTAAAGAGGAGGAGGCGCGAGCCTCCTTTGCAAGCCTAAGTAGGCTTGTCTCGAGCAATTTACAGTATTTTTGTCGTAACTTCCAGGCTATGTAAAAAATGGGTCTTAAAATAAGGTTGAAAATTCGAAGCATAACATTTTCGACTGAACTTGATCTATGATAATACTTTTACTATATTTCTTCAATTTGACTTATTTTCTCATCAAATTGACACATAACACTCTCGAATCTTCATCGGGAAGTTCGCCACAATTTTTGAGTATTTGTACTTTGATCCCCGAATTTTGAATATCTTACAATTGAGCCAATTTTCTTCAAATTTTCATCAAATTGTGAGTGTTACCAATTGAACACAATACATAACAAATTAAGTAATATTTCATTAAAAGAACACAATACATAACAAATTAAGTAATATTCATCAAAAGAGCTACAAAATATCATTATTTAAAATCAATAATAAGTATATAAAATATACTTATCAAATGGGCGGTTTTAGTGTGGAGGCATTTACACTAAATTTCATTTCCAAAACCTTAAACTAAGATTTTTCGATATTGTACACAAGATTTTTACAAAAAATCCCTTATAGTTTTCAAGTTTGCCCCAACAATTAAAATTTTGTGAAATTTGCACCCACGACTCTTTTATCAACTTTTATCATACTCTATTAAAAATATAATTTTAATCTATACCAAACGGGAGCTAAATAAAAAATAAAAAAAATATTGAAAAAAGTAAAATAAAGATGTGTTTGGTTTGCTGCTTTCAGTATTTAGTTTTGCAAAGCAACCAAAACTTATTTTGTCTAATGCTTCTAAGTATGTATTTTTAAAAAAATAAGGTTAAACTTATAATACGAAACTAAAAATTCATTTTTGACATTTTTTAGCATTTTCAGTGAAAATTTTGAAAACACTCGAAGTATGGAAATCAAGCATTTATATAAATATTTATTTAAATAAAATTCTGAAAATTAAAAATTGGAAAAGATATATAAATTCTAAAAAATTAAAATTCGAAAAAAATTGAAAAAATAAAATCTAAAATTCTAAGAAAAAAAATTATGAAAAAAAAATTCTAGAAAAAAAAATTCTAGCTCTTTTATATATATGTATGTATGTAAATGAGCACATATAAAAATATTCTCAACGCACGTTAATAATTTCTTTTTTTTTTCATATGTTTTGTCAACCCAATTTATTATTTATTTTTATTTTACTATTGTTGCAAAAATGATGATGATGATGATGATAATAATAATAATAACACTCATCAACTTTATATATGTGTGTGTGCGCGCGCGCAATAAAATGACAAAATTAATTTTCAAAATTTCAATTCAAACAAGTATTCTAGTTTTCTATTTTTTAAAACAGTTTTTCAAAATAACAAAATCAAATGCGTTTTTAAAATTTTTAAAATAGACACTCGAAATAGAAAACGGAAAATGAACTCAAAGTTGAAATATACAACCGAACGACCATAAAGAGTTCGTTTGAATGTATAAAAAAATTTACTCTTTAAATTTTAAAATGCTCTTTATTATGACCTTGACACTCTTAAAAAATTAAAAGTTATACATACATACATACATACATATTTGAATCTCAAAGTACATAGCCTGAAATTAATTCCAGGGGTTCAGAATATGCAATTAGAAGAAGAAATTTGCTGGTTTTTTTTTTTTTTAGCTTTTTTGCAAAATTTTGTATTCATGACAAACAAAATTCAAGAAGTACCAAGACATTATGCACACATTCCATCATATATTATAAGCTTTTACGACAAAAATACGAGTAAAAACTCGGGTAAATAGAGTACGGAATTAAACCGTACAGCAGCCTTGCTGAGCTAAACAAAAACTACTCTTACCAGTATAAATGAATGGCTAAATGCTCATAATACACAACAAATTTCAGAACCGGGCTGCAGACAACATTTTTCTATGCCTTCGTCTAAGAATTGGAGGCAGAAACTATTCATCTACACATTGACGAGATCGAACTGTTTCCTTTGATAGTAGTTCAACAAGCCGTTTTTCAAGCCTTTTTGCTCCCGGACCCGGCTTCAAAACATCAGCATCTCCCCAAACTGAACATTTCTCGTTTTCAGATTCACCTAAACACCAGCCACCGGGTACTGGTTTGCCCGGTTTTCGTTCCAGAACTTCCCGGTCGATCCGGTCAAGAACCGAATCATGTGGGAGAAATGGTGAGGCAAAGGCTGCTCCACTTTGGATCAGATCATCAAATGTACTAGAATTCAGCTGTAGGGGCTCCTGTCTGGAGTCGTAAGAAACATACTGCAGGCTGTGGTTGATAGTAGTTCGATTGAATTGCCGTGAATTGCATAGAATGGTTGGGAAATAGACAAGATTTGATGCCGGCGTATTTGACAAGTACATTAGTAGAGTCCTGGGAAGATTGTCCACACCCAAGACGCAGAACTCAACAAACTTGCGAGTTAAAATAGCTGATGATGAACCTGTAAGCAAAAGAACCAATGATTCAATTCTACTGTCCCCCTTTTTCTGCTTAAATATCCATACTGAATGAAAGAAGATATTAACTACCATATAACACTAGCTAGCTCAACAAGCAGACGGAAAAATACATGTATACAAAAAAATTTGCAATGCCTACACACTAGTTTGCTACCACTTCTTTTGACTTCAAAGTGGTATCACTAAGATCAAGGGTTCCAAGTAAACTACTTGAAAAGAATCAGACTTAAATGCCAAATAACAACCGGCAATAATTGTGACCAAGAGCATTAGTTGTGTGTCTTGGGAGTTCTCATTCTCGAAAATCGAAGATGTAGTTAATCACAACTTTCAAAAGCACAAAATTAAGAGTAAAAAGAAAAACTCAAGTCAGGAGGAAAAAGGGAATGAGACAACATTAGTGTAATATATAGTTAACAATAGTAATGAAATAAAAGAAGTGCAAAGGGAAGCAAGATAAGGATAGTTTTCGTCTCTGTTATAAAGCTTTAAGTAGTTCGAAGATGATGTGCACTCTAGGAATTGTCTCTATTAAAAGTCATCTAAATCATAGAACTTCACTCACAATAACTTTGCCCCTTATTTTCAAAAAAATGTCCTCTATGTACAGAGTTGAAATCCTAATCCACATCCTCTGAAGTTGAGATGAATAAGAAACTAAAAGCTTGCTTGGGAAGTGTTTACAAATAGTTCAAATTATAACTAGATAGAAACATAAATTGGTAATACTTGTGGGTCCCACAAAATGTGTGGATAATTATTTGACCATTCTAAACAATTTATAAACATTAGCCAAACATAAGCTAAATTGAAATATGAATTTTCTTTTGCGAGAAGATCAAAAGCTGCAAAACTAAACTTCCTCCTTCCTAGATGGCTTAGGTTCCATGCCAAGCTTTTATCCAGGGGCGCAGAGATGGTAAAGCAAAGCATGTCTAGGTGTCAAATGCCTGAAAATTATATCACAATTTGCAGGAATTTTTGCCTTCTACATGTTCTATACTACTTTCAGATGGATCTAAATATAAAATGTGGGAACTTAGGTCCCATTAACTACAGTGGAATTTGACTACTTGATTTCATTCTGCCAGTGGGATTTAAATAAATTTTCAAAGAATGTATCTAGGACCAATGAATTTTTATTTTACTATTTTAAAGTTACGCCTTTTCACTTTTTCACCAAACATTGGTTGTGAAAACCCAAGTCTACTTTAAAATTTGACAACCCTCGCACTTCCTTTTGACTGTTTCCTAGAGAAAATGAAAATGGATACTAGTTGCATCTAAATTTTATGTCAAGCTAAAGGCATCTAAATGAAAATGGACTAGATGTAAGGATGGCCTCTGCCAGTATCCAGGATATATATTTCAATTTCTCTCCCAGCTAAAGGCTTCATCAATACCATGCAACTTTTTTGTATCAAAACTTGTTCATATCTCCATCAACTCTTCTTTTTTAGCATTATAAAGAACGAGGATGCAAAAAACTAATATAAGCACAACATACTGAAACTTAGTGAGTTTGCTAGTTTTGCAACAGTCATAGCAGAAACTAGTCTAAAATGCATCTCGGAATATTTGATCTTTAGGCACAAATTTTATCAAATTATTTGTGTGGATTGGCCGCACAACTACTGATACTTTTACAATCTCCACTTTCAGGATGTTGTTACTAATTATAAATCTATCTATATCTAGAACTACAAATCAAGTCCTGATTAAATGTGAAACCAGTAAACATCATTTGTTATGATATTGTTCTTATGGACAATGAATGAAATGAAGAAATAAAAGGACTTGAAATGACCATCCATATAGTAGCTTATATAGGGAAATTGTTTTACCTACATCTTTCCCATGGCCCTGGGGCTTTACTTGATGACAAGTGTGAAATCTAAGAGACTAGTTCCTATGGAGATTCTCCATGATCTAATTCTAAGCCTAATATACTAGTAGAGAAAATTCCCTTCTGTGCTAGTGGGATTGCAATCCCGAAAAGAGAAGGATGCTTTTGTCAGGTTTAGTTCTCTTAGATGGGTTGGGAGGTCTGACCACAAATACGCTTTGCACAAATATTTCCTATGCACTAAGCTTTCTTGCTGTGTTTTTCCTGTTGATTCAGGTTTAATTTGAACTATTTATGCGTTTTTTTCTTTTGGGAAAAAAAGTAAAGCCAGCAAGTATATAGAAATTGTCTATTGTGGCTACACGTATGCTACTAAGAATTGCATGGATCATATGGAAATACTATTCTGGCACGATATGAAGCAGGATGGGTACCAGATTAGCAACTAGATGATTGTCAGGATGTAGATGAATACTAATTTACAACCGAGGAATTGCCGGCTCTTCCTCCCAACAAAAACTTGACTAATCAATCATGTTATTTCCGGACTTCAATCAAGCTTTACAGAAGCTTCGCATTGAATCATTAATTCTCTAACTAAACAACTCTGAAGGAATACATTATTGTGTCAAAAACATTGATGGCAAGTTTGGTAGGGAGGAATAGATAGCACTCGAGACTATTATGGAAGAAAAAGAAACGAAAATCTTGTTCATCATAATGTTGGGTCATGTACAGTACATCATTCCAAACAGGCACAGAGTTCATTAGCATTAAAGACGAGATATCTTTATTATTTTCCCAGAATCAGAAGAAATTATGTGTGCCCAACAGTCTTTCTGTATTCACCATTCACAGCTGTATGGATTAATTGTTAATCATGTATCTTGGAGAGCGATAATAACACGAAACAGAGAAAACAGAAAGCGAGTATGAACACATGTTTTGTAGATTTTCGCTCTTAATGCCATGATTTCAATATAAATTAAAAAATAAGCTCTAAGACAGTTTTCCATAACACTACCTAAAAGTTTTTAGTGTGCTTTCGTAGTATATTTTCTAAGAAACAATGAGAGTGCAGTGCAGTCCATTAACACATTCAGCTATTTTGCCAAAAGAAGCATGAAGCAATGCCAATCTTTCTATGAATTCGGTCTACGAATCCATAAGGCTTTAAAATATTTAACTGCCCACTAGCATTCCTAAAGAAAACAAATGAAAGTACTGTAGAACTTACCTGTGAATAACCGGAAAGCATCCGGCAGCTGTCTCTTTTCAGTTGCATAAAACGTCTCACTATTTTCCGCAAGGTAGAGTGCGGGATCAACTATTATTGGTTTCAGTTTCCGAGATCTAAAATCAACAAACAAAATAAACTTATATTACTGCATAAGTCAATAACAAGATTGCTCCTCGTTAGCTCTTTCCATATCAGCATACATAAGAGAATATTAAAAAGAAAAAATGGAAGTTCGTACTCTCTCCATCCAATATAGCTTGTGTGATTCACAAAATTAAGATCCTTAGGCAGATATGACAAAATGTGTAAAAGATCTGAAAAACAACAAAATTCTCATGTCAGCATACTCGGATGATATTAATTCAGAAAATTTATTATCAATCTATTTATTACAGGCACCAACAAACATTCACTCGAGCACAGATGCTAGAGCATATCAATAACTACATATGCATCATGTTAAGCAATATGTAACTGGGATTTCAAACTTCAACAGGAACTACATTACTAAATCTATTCCAAAACAAGAACGCACGTGCAACAAGCTTGTACAAATGCTGTAAATGAGAAAAAACACTCGAATAAACTTAAAACACACACATAGAATAAAGAGTTAAAAGATGCTCTTTTGAGAAACAAGCAATGGAAATCTTAACATTGGTAAAAACCCCATCTTTCAATATGGAAACATTATATACAAACTTCCAATCAAACTGCTCTCTTTCTCCCCTCAACACAATATTTGCATAAACGTATGAACAAAGCTACCATCTTGACTGAGAAGTAGGATAAGCAGCAAAGACATCAATAACCCAACTCCAATTATATACATCATGAATGCAAAGAAGGCAAAATCGCATTTTTATACACCCACAAACACATTTGACATCCTCAACAAACACAAAGAAAAAAGAATTATAAACACCATTATGAAAAAATGTAATAGAAATAACAGCATCCAAATAACTGATACATATAAAATTCTCCGAACATAGGCACAAGAAAATACAGATATGAAGATACCATCTTGGGTAACAAGGGGGTAATCATTTGCCGAGAGATTGATAAACCAATCCCAATCTGCCGCAACACGGAGCATAATGGACGCGCCGTGAAGTGTGGAGGAAAGTGATGAAGGACCAGCGGAGAACACATAGTCAGCCTTGCCAATTACATGTACATTCTGAGCAGCCCTGAAGAGGGGCACTGATTGAACTCTGATGGCCAGGGTATCACGGTCAGCCTGAGGAGCTGCCCGGTCCAGGTTGAGCAAGTACTGGTTCCTGGGATGGTAGATAGAGTAGAGTAGTCTGATGATCCGATCCGAATCATTGGCGGATCCGGATATGAGGTATGCTATGGAGGGAGGGGTTGGAGGGAGCGGCGGTGCAGCTGAAGGGGTGTTTTGGTTTTGGGTGGTGTTGGGGTTGTGGAAAAGGAAGCGGTGGTGGTGGGGGAAGAGGGATGGGTGGGGTTGGGTGGGGGGAGGTGGAGAGGAAGGAGAAATAGTGAAGGAGAGTACGAGGAGAAAGAAGAAAACGGTGGTCGCTAATAGAATGTAAGGGGTAGTAATAGCAGCGCCGGTGGCGGTGGTGATGGGTGGCGGATGGTGGTGGAGATGCATTATATTAATGAATTTTGATTCTTTTCTTTCTTGTGAATGTTTCTTGGGTTCACAGTGCTCCGATTTTGTCGAAGTAGGATTAATGTTGTTTGTGAATTCTTGTCGGAAAATTACGAACGGCTAATTCGAATCAAGAATCCATTGGTGGCCGAAGTTGGAAACAGGGAAGATAAATGGGCTACAGATGATTTATCACTCGAACTAAAAATGATAAATGGGCTTGTCAACAGTGGATTTAGGTGCCATAGTTGAAAAGAATCTCCTACATTTTTTTTAGATCTTAAATATATTTTTTTGGATTAATAGCTGAACCCCTAAAAAGTTCTCATTTGCAATATACACGGTCTATTGGAAATAGCAAAAAATTCCCATATTTGAACCTTTTATACGAAAAACTCTCATACTGTCACATTTGTCATTAAAGACTGTAAAAATGTCAAAATTTAAAAGTAATAATTACAATTTTAGTATTCAAATTTTTGATCATTTTACAAATTGTGTTCAATTTTTTTTATATACCACCAACAATCCTAAATCTTAAAACTTTATTTCCTGCTCACCCCACTTCATCTTCTTCCCCGAAACTTTATTATTTTATTTAATCATTCTCAAAACCCTCCTAAATCCCTCACCCCAAATTTATTATTCTTCTTCTCGTTCCCATGATAGGTCCTCACTCACAAGCAACGGTGATTCACACAAGGCACGGTGGACAGTTGAATTCATCGAAGGCAAAAACATTGTAATCCACCTTAAGAGTTGTCACGACTGCTAGCTCATGATGGTGGACGAGCCATTTCTTTTCGTCATGAACGAAAAAAAGGTTCTGCAAATTATTACGGCAACAAAAATGGACACTTCAATTTAATGGGAGCCTGTTAAAAAAGGGAATTATGTGAAACTAATGACGAGGGAAATGAAATTCTTAAGGGTTAATGAGGGAACGCCGCCATGGAGGAATTCAATAACTCATGATATTTCTAATAGAACTACAACTCAAAACTGGGTTTTGTGAGGAGTGGATATTGTGAATATTTCTAATTTTGGAAATAAGAAGAAGAAATGAAGAATTTGGGATAAGAGATTTAAGAGGGTTTTAGAAGTGATTAAATAAAATAATAAGGTTTTGGGGTAGAAGATAAAGTGTGGTGGGGTGAAAAATAAAGTTTTAAAGGTTTTGGATTGTGAGTGGTAGTGGTATTTTATAAAAAAATTGGGTATAATTTGTAAAACAATAAAAAGTTTGGATACTAAAATTGCAATTATCACTTTTTAATTTTGACATTTTTACTGTCTTTGACGGCAAATTTGATGGTATGGAGGTTTGTAGCACAAAATATTTCAACTAGGAGGGTTTTCTGCGATTTCCAATAGGTATGGGGTATATCACAAATGAAAACGTTTTAGAGGGGTTTTCTGCTATTAATCTTTTTTTTTTCTATGGTTAAGTTTGTGTGTATTGTATTGTATGGCACGATCATAGTGATGTGATCCAAGGTAGCAATGCAACGAACACAAGCTTGGGAAAAGATCCATTGATTATCGAATGAGGTCCAATGACTAGGTCACGAGCGAAGTGGGTCAAAGAAGCAATGTGGCTACTTGTTCCAGGCATGGTGGACGAAAACATTGACCGCGACGAGCAAAGGGATAAGTTCCATGTTGGGCATGGACGGAGAAACCAAATGGATAAACATGATTCAAGTAACGGACGAGGAGGTAGCGAAACCAGGCATGGGGTCGCATGCCTTGCATCCAAGAATAACAGAGGCCAAGTTGAAGCTACTATGCCACCACATTGAGTCTAACTATGCGGCCGCATAGTTAAATCCGACAGCAAGATTTGTGCACTTTTGGAAAGTATCCTGTTTTGTTTCAAACTCTATATTTTGGTATCTTTTGTCATCTTTAGGATATATTTTCATGGTAAACTAGGGTTTTAGGAGTTGGTATAAATAGTTTCATTATTTTTCATTGAAAACAACATACATTATTAAGAATTAATCGAGAGGCAATTTGTTTACAAAGCCATTGTTCTTCGTTAGACAAACTTGTGAACTTATCAAGAATATTTTTGTGGCGTTCAAATCAATCGGGTGAGATTCTTAAATATTACAATCAAAAGGGTCGACAAGTTATTTGTGAATTGTTGGTTGTTTTGGTTCGTATTTTCGAATCAAATCAAAACTTTGATTTATCTTTAGCTTTCTTGGGTTCGGGTTTCAATCGAATTGTAGGTTTCGCAGCTACATAGCTACATGTGTGGTATCAGAGTTTAGGCTCCAACAAATCAAGGTTATGTCCCTTTTCCTTTTTGTTGAGTCTTATGTTTCCTTTTTCTATCATTCTTCGCATTTAGAGTCTTTGATTCGTATAAAAGTTCCGCAAAAATTTCAAAAGTTGTTTTTAGGCTCATTTAGCGTCCAAATCAACTTATATTTCTTTTGCTGGTATCGTAGTTGAATTCCGGATAAAAAAAGGTCCAAAATTTTAAAAAAAAATCTTTATTATTATATATCTCGAAAATTACCGAAAATTACAAATTTCTATTGAGCCAAATGTAAGAACCATTTTCTTGAATCAAATTAGTTTTACATTCCAATTATCCAATTCTTTCTTAGGTCTTTAAATTGCAAATCTCAATCAAATGCTGGTTTGAATTCTATGAGAATAACTCCTGGTTGAGTTCAATTTGTTCTTTGAAGCACTTGGGCAAAAATATTGAGTGGAAAACGATAGAGTGGTGAGACTAATAGAGGGTACAAGTCAAAATTTGAGTGATACACGAGAGAGAATACGTGAGGTTTAGATTTAGGATGTCTGACAAGGATGGATCAACACTAAGCGGAAACAACAATCAAACTAATATGTCGGATGAGGTGATACGACAGTTTGAGCGGTTATTTGAAAATGTGTGGGATATAATGGATAGGCAGGAGGTGTGGATGGAAAGGCAAGACAGGTTCTTGTCAATTTACATAGGGGAGCACCCAATGCATGGAGACAGGTTAGGATGGAGCCTAGGGCGGAACTTCGTGAAGAATAAGGTAGTAAAGTAGATGAGGATGCGTTAATCGAGGCCGAAATGAGTAGGATGAGAAATAAATGAGCTAGGCCTGAACAAAGGGGTAGGAACTTGGTTGGAGACGAGGTAGATGGGACTATAGGTAACATAAAAATGTCAATTTCTTAATTCAAAGGTAAGAGTGATTTGGAGGTTTACTTTGAGTGGGAGAAAAAAGTAGAATTGATTTTTGACTGCCACAATTATTCGGAGGAGGAGAAGGTGAAGATAGCAGTCCTTGAATTCACCGACTATGCAATCACTTGGTAGGATCAAATGGTGACATCAAGGATGAGAAATAGAGAGAAACATATCAATACATGGGAGGATTTGAAAGCTATTAGAGAAAGAGGTTCGTGCCTAATCACTACTATCGGGAGCTTTATAAAAAACTACAAAGCCTCTACTAGGGATCTATAAGTGTGGAGGACTACCATAAAGAGATGGAGATGTTGATGATTAGGGTGGATGTGGAGGAGGATTAGGAAGCCACCATGGCNTGAGGTGTTTAGGGTCAGGGCACATAGCTTTTTAATGCCCAAACAAGATGGCAATGATTTTGCGGGATAATGGAGATGTGGTGAGTGAAAGTGATTATGAAGCCATGCCGAAATTGGAGGAGGATAGTGATGGAGAAAAGGTAGAGTATGTTGTGGCGAGCTATTGGTTATAAGGCGAGCTCTCAATATTCAAATTAAGATGGATGACTTGGAGAAGCAAAGAGAAAACATTTTCCATACACGCTGCCACATTAATAATAAGGTATGTAGCATGATCATTGACAGACGAAGTTGCACCAATGTAGCTAGCACTGTCTTGTGGTGAAATTGAGACTAATTCTGTTAAAACACCCTAAACCCTATAAACTACAATGGTTAAATGAATATGGGGAATTTAAGGTGAATAGAAGGGTGTTAATAAATTTTTCAATTGGTAGTTATCATGACGAAGTACTATGTGATGTAGTACCTATGCATGCGGGTCATATCTTGTTGGGGAAACCATGGTAATACGATAGGAATGTGATACATGATGGATATAAAATAGGTATAGCTTTGACAAAGGTGGAAAGTTTATCACACTTGCATCGCTAACACCTGCACATGTGTATAAAGACCAAATCAAATTGAAAAAATGAGGAAGAAAAGAGAGAAAACGGTAAGTTAGAGAACAAAAAAGAAAATAGTGAGGTAACTAAAAGAGAGAAAAATAGAGAAGAGCCACATGAGAGGAAAGAAGATGACAAAAGGGAGTGAGTTGAAGAGAGTGACAGTTGAGAGGCAACAAATGACTACAATGAGTCACTCATCAATTTTGAGGAATCTAACACATCCCTCCCTAGTTTGGCTCTCTTTGTTGCAGGAATTTGGAGATGTATTTTTGGAAGACGTACCTAGTGGATTACTACCCATTCAAGGTATAGAACGCCAAATTGACTTTGTGCCCAGAGCAGTCATTCCAAACCGACCAGCTTACCGAAGTAATCCCGAGCAGACAAAGGAATTTCAAAGGCAAGTTGATGAGCTGATGAGGGAAAGCATGAGTCCATGCGCCTTACCGGTGCTACTTGTACCAAAGAAAGATGGAACTTGAAGGGTGTGTGTGGATTGCAGGGCCAACAACAACATAACGGTAAAGTATCATCATTATATTCCTAAGTTAGATGATATGTTGAACAAATTATTTGGTACTTGCATATTTAGCAAAATTGATCTTAAGAGTGGTTACCATCAAATTTGAATGGGGGAATGTGATGAATAGAAAACCTCTTTTGAAACTAAATATGACTTGTACGAATGGTTGGTTATGTTGTTTGGACTCATTAATGCACCGAGCACTTTCATGAGTTTAATGAATCACGTTTTGCGTGCATTTAATGAATCACGTTTTGGAGTGTTTGATTGTCATTTTTTCATGAAAAATATTTTTCAATCTTTGGAAATATGTTTAGATTTCCTTGTTTTTGAGGAAAATATTTCTCTTTGGGGAATTAGGTTTTTGTTTTCCACCAAATAAGGAAAATATTTTCTTTTCTATGAGATTTTTTTTATACCGATAAAATACTCCCCTGAAGAAAATTTGTCTAATGTAACTTTCTTTAAAAGCGTTTCTAGAATAGGAAGGTTTTTTATAAATTAATTTTTAGATAAAAATTAAGGTAGTTTTTTCAAAAAATTCTTCTATAAAAATAAAAAAATTAGATCAAAAGTTATATCTCCGTAATTGGGTCAAGCCTTTAATTAATACTAAAGAAGAAAACATTGTATTTGTATTATTGTTTTAGCGGAGTTTTTTCGAAGTTTGATCCGTAAATATAAACATATCGTCGAATCAAGTTAAATATTGTGTCTTTAATTTCGTTCATTACATAGGGTTCGAACTTTAAAAAAATGCCAAATTTCAACCTTTATTATTTGTCACTTTGATAGGATAGAGTTGCAGCGTCCAATTTAAGCCAACAATCTAAGTAGATGTGACAACTGACAAGAAATCCTTTATTTCTTAGCACATTCCAGAAAACGGCCATGGAAGAAAAAACTAACGACCCTCCGAAACAAGAACAAGAAAATCAACAAGAAGGGACGTGGGCCCGACAAGCATGGGCCCACCTATCAACAGTTCGCCAGCAGTCTCCTTTAATCCAGTGCATAACCAACTTCGTATCGATGGATCTCGTCGCCAATGTTATGCTCGCCGCCGGCGCATCGCCTGCGATGATACATTCAATTGAAGAAATCCCGGACTTCACTCCGAAGGCTCACGCGCTTTACATTAACGTTGGTACACTCACACCCGACTGGCTACCGGCAATGAAGCTTGCAATTCAGGTGGCGAATGAGAATAAAAAACCCTGGGTGCTGGACCCGGTAGCGGCCGGAGCTTCGGGTTTCCGGTTGAAGGCTTGCCTTGAGCTTTTGGGGATGAAGCCTACTGTCGTTAGGGGTAATGGGTCTGAAATTATTGCTCTTTTCAAGGGGTCCGAGGATTCCAATTCTAAGGTAAATTTCTTAGTTTTTAACCTAGTATTGACTAATGTTTTGTTGCATTTAAGTTAAAGAGCTTACGAAATTTGGATGTTTTCGGGCAGTTTAGATAGAACTCATTCGTAAAACTAGCTAGCTTGAGTAGTTATAAGCCTCCAACCAAGCATCAATTTCACTGTGTAAGACGCAATTGGAGTCATTACAATCCACTGTCACCAGCTCTTTGTTTGAACTGATTCTTAGAATTCACTGGTAAGTGGTGAGGTGCTTGAGTGGATTTAAGCCTACAACTCAAGTTGAACGTTCACGATGTGGAACGCCATTCGAGTTATAACTCATTATATACGATTCAAAGGCGAGGCTCGTAAATTTTGGTTTTGTTTAACATGAAGTTTTCATGTTCGACTAGTTGGTATGCATATCTTGAATTGGTATTTCAAATAATTTTGATTGGTTTGATCTGCCAAAGTTTTGAAGTATGTATTTGTTTTCCATTCAATTGATACAAGTTCAAGTTTTATCTAATCAGTGTAGTGATGAAATAGATAACGTTGATATGCTACGAAATACTCAAAATCCCAATACTTGTTCGCACTTGGCTTACATTTTATCCATACTATGTAATAACTCTGTATTTGCATTTCTTTGCAGTACTAATCTAGACCATTTGATCTGAGATAAATTATATCACAGTGCACGATTCATTTCGTAACTTGGAAGTTTATTGTAATTCCTTAATTTAGATAAACGGTTCCTTGTTTTTGAACAGAATCTGTTATTTCAGCACAGAACCAAAGGTTGTAATACCTCAGTGCAAAGTGTCACTTGTGAAGGGAAAAGCTTTAGTTAATAACATAAAACTCATCTCTTAAGGGGGAGGGTAAGGCCTCTTGATTCTTGTTTGGGATTTCTTCAGTTGGCCTCTCTCTTAACCCTGTTATGCGACTGAAACAACGAAACTGAATATTCTGTTGAATTTTTTTTGCCTAAACAGTGTTAGCATGAATAAGTTGAGTTCACCACTCAGATCTCGTCATCACTATGATTTTCTGAAATTGATGATCTTAAAATGTTGTCTTTTTTTTTTCCACGACATTTGATTTTCCAGTACTGTCCTTGAAGTCAATAAATTTGTAGTCATATTACCACTGCTTGATCAAAACATTTAGGTGGTTGATAGACACATGCCCATGGTGGCACTCATGTCATTACTGGCTAATCATAATTTTCCAGTGGTTAAAGTGAGACTCGTACATCACCTATGTGTTTCATATGCAGTCGCAAGCCTACTATCTACTAAGGGTTTAGTAGGTTGACAGCCAATATAAAACTTTGTTACATCATGAACCTTAATACACTTATTGTTGGACGTCCCCTACTAAGTGACATGTCGCATTGAACCCCGGCATAGTGAAAAATGGGCAAGGGTTAGCTAGGTTGTACTCCATAAGAAACATGGCATTTTTGGCAACAAAGGTGTCAAAAAATAGTAAGCAAGGGTTCTTGTGATCTACTAGGTGGAGACGGGTAAAGAAGGTAGTCCAAGGTAAAGCGTAAAGCCAAAGAAAGCTTCATGTGGGCTGTCCTAAATTTATAGAAAATAAGGCTTTGTTTGTTGCTATTGTTGTTTGCTTATACAGAAAGTGAAGCACATTTATCTCATTCCATTTTTCTTTTTCCTATTCCTTTTTCAGGGGGTAGACAGCATGCACGAATCAACAGATGCTGTTGAAGCAGCAAAATCCCTGGCTGAAGTAAGTGGAAGTATAGTTGCTGTATCTGGAGCTGTTGATATTGTTACAGACGGTCAACGGGTTGTTGGTGCCAAAAATGGGGTTTCTATGTTGCAGAAGATTACAGCAACGGGATGCTCTGTCACTGCCCTAATCGCTGCATTTGTAGCAATCGATCCATCACGAGCATTTGAAGCCACTGCGTCTGCAATGTCCGTGTTTGGTGTTGCCAGTGAAATAGGTATGGACATGGCTAAAGGTCCAGCTTCCTTGCGAATGCACATGATCGATTCACTTTATGGGCTAGATCGAGCTACTGTGCTTCATCGTGTGAACATCAGCGCCATTTGATTCGGCAATTGGCAATCATCTAAATGGTGTGTCCTGGTCAAGTTTGTATATTCGTAGGAATAGATGATCATTCCTGTATAAACATAGGTTGTTACTATACAGTCTATACTCGAGTTATGATCATCTTTCAGTGGCAAGAAGCTTAACTGATAGGCATATTTCCTTATTCCGCCTTCCCTTGTCAAGGCTACACAAGCCATATTTGTCAGTAAAGTGATGCTTGAGAGCGTACGAAGTGTATACTACTTGGCGACGGAGGCAAAAATGTACATTTACTTGGCTACTTAGATTCATAGTTAATCAGAACAAACTAAGCATTATTTTCAATAAACTCGGAAGATCATTGATGCACAAACAAATATTTATTAAAACATGCATTTTGTCAAGAACTTCTTGTATTCACGTAGACCGGGTCAGATAGAGGAAAAGGTGACCATCCCGCTTCTAATAACAGGAGTGTATTTGGCAAGAATATTGGATTGAAAATCTAGTATGTCACATGTTTGATACAATTTTTGGGGTCAACACATTTCACAAACTGAACATATTTCGAATTGTAAATAGTTGGAGGAAAAAAAAAAAAAACCATTCTTTGTTTCTACTTGGGCTTGCAGATTGAAGCTTGACCACCTCATCATCATCATTGGAAAAAGAATAGATAGAATGTTTGGCTAAGCTTATAAGCAGCACTGCTTCTTGGTTTATTTATTCCCGTAGTAAGACGGTAAATAAGCAGCTTAAAAACTTAGCCAAACAAGTAATGGGAAGATGACTAGATCACATTGTACATCACATAAACAAAATCATGCTGCAGCTGACTTATTTACTTCCTCTATGGACACTTCATGGTTCATGATCTTGTTCTGCCTCACAACAGGAGAAATCAGTTTCCACACTGCATTCACAGATTTACATGTTAATCGGGTTTAAATGTCATTGCACTGTAAAATTAGAACTCAAAGCTCAAAATTGGAAGATCTGTCGTCTAGGTGACGAGAAACTAAATTTTCTCCCATTCTTATTGATTTAACATTTTGAATGAGATGGTTTGACAATATACACCCTGATTCTTATGGAAAAATTCATCGATGCTTATACAAAATGGCACTCTTGAACTTACAGTATATGGTGGCTGCAAAACCACTCATTAACGATCTTCACCCACGTACTAGCCCAGCCAACTTCAATGCTCCATCTGATATAGAGAACAGGTTAATAAATGAACAATCCAGGAAGTTTTAAAAGGGTTTTAAGAACATTTATAACGTACTTTCTTGTCAAGCTTGTCGAACATTTATACAGCAATGAGGAAGCCCTATAGGCAGAAGCAGAATCAAAGATAGCATGGAACAGATTACAGATGAGTCCTTGAGAAAGAATTACATGAAGTTGAGAAAAGACAAGAACCACTCAAGTTTAGTAAAAACACCTTCATAAAAAAATTATCACTGGTAATTCTTCTAATAATAAAAAAAAAAATTGCAAAAGTTTTCGTAAATTGTTTGAATGATAGATTTCGGTGTGAAGAAAATGAAGATGAAAATAAAAGAGAGTGAAGTCTTACAATTACAGTTGTCCAACCACCATGTGCATTCTCTTGTTTCTGAGGGCTGCATTTTTCACTGGCTGGCTCGCTGCCGTTAAATTTCACCAAATCGGAAAAAAATTAGAACGCATAAAAGTATAATCTCAAGTTCGATGAAGATCGTGCTTTACAAGAAAGAATGCATTTGAGTGCTATGTTTCATGTAAGAAAATTAAGCTTTCAATATAGAACAAATTGTAACATGAATTTTTGTGTTGATAGATCTCAAAACGTAATTAAAGAAATGTTAATATTTATCGGTTGGGGACGGAGGGAGAGTACAGAAAAATTTAAGGATAGATATATGAGTGCCTAGTGAAAAATACGTGCTACGCAGCATTTGGCAATTTCATCAAGTCCTCACCTGATCTTTTGATGACATTGAACATATAGTGCGTGTTTTCTACGTAGTACAAGAGAAGACTCGATAGAGAATACAAATATATGAGGATTCATTACCTTCTGATAGCAGTCCAACAAAGGAACATGATGTAAGACGCCATGATCCCCGAAGAGAGAAGGCCTCTATTCACCTGTCTTGATCATGCCAACAGTCACTTATGAGATGCAAAAGACTTTTATGATAGGTATAAAAATCATCTTTCTTGATGATTTTTTTTTTCTTTTTCTTGAAATAAATTTACCTTAGAATGCAACGATATAATCATCATCACAACAAGCAAAATCACAGTCCACGTGATGAAGAATATGTTAAGAGTGCACTATAGTTTTGGGGCGTAAAGCATGTACATTGTAGCGACCCGACCTTGCGCCGGAATCGTTATCATATCTTAAGTATTGTCCACTTGCTCAATTGGTACTCGGATTCAACTTAAATCTCACATATGATGGAGGTCTTGAGTTCGAATCCCGGGGGACGCGTCAGAAAGCCGTGAGGGATAAGATGGGTCTGGGCTCTCCCAAAGCGGACAGTACGTAAGATATGATAACGATTCCGACGCAATGTCGGGTCGTTACAAAAAAACGCTTTACAAAAAAACGCGCGTTTTTTTGTAACGACCCGACCTTGCGCCAGAGCTGTTATCATATCGTACGTACTGACCTTGCGGGTCGTTACAAACATCACCACCAGGCCACAGACAGAGGTTATATAAAAGAGTGTCGACATGAATAATCCGAGGCAACAGCTGACATAGAAAATGTTAAAAAATGCGCCAAAATCCTGGATCTTTTATGTATTACACCTCTTCAATGAATTATCGATAGTATATAGTTTAAAGAAATGCAAAAGTGTGTACCTTGATTTATTTCTGTCATCAGGCATCCAAAAATTATTCCACCAGGTGATGAACTCAATGACACTTGTAAGCTGGAGAATCAAAAAAACCCTGCACCATAAGTTAAATACAAAATTGACTCATTCTTCCTCATCTATTGTTTACTTTTTATGCATTGTAACACGAGACAATTCTTTCAAGTCTCGAGTATCAGTAATGCTGATAAAGGGATAAATCTGGAACTTGCAAAGGATTTGAAGGTTACCCTGCACCAACACGATCAAGTTCACCTGCAAAAGGGACAGGAATATCCTTCTACATAATAGGACAGTAGCGGAGAAAAAGATGGGACAACACTCTTGAAAGGAATAATGGAAGTTCAAGAGACAATTTCCATATTGCTTTGAAGATAGCTTTATGGTTACAACTTCAGTAATTACCAACATAATGTTTCCATAAGAAAACTCAAGGAGTTGTAATTATTACTATCAGACGTACCGTAGATTTGAATGTAATACGAGGGAATGAAGAATGGAATAGCCAATGATATCGTCAATATAAGGAATTTCAGTGCCCACCATCCAGAATGCCAAGCATTGGGAGCTTCATATAATTTTCTCGTGTTGAATGTTGTAAGAAACATTACGAAGAAAAATATCTAGAACATACGTCAAGGAAGCTAGACAAATCAAACAGAGTGGCAGGACAGATAATTCACAATCCCATTAACAAGAAAATCTATTCATTAACAATGTGGCAGAAGTCTGACTTACAATGTAATATCGGTAAAGCCATTTGTAACAAAATGAAAAGGAGAGAAGCCCAGAAAAAAATAGCTGAGTAGAGAACCAGAAGGAGGAAGAAATGATGAGCAGAGAAAAATCTTACTTCCTGTGTTTCTGCTTTTGTGTATCAATACATATAAATACAATTACAAAGGAATATTCTAACAACCTATAGAAGAAAAATACAATATTGCCCTTATGTACAACTCAGCACAGAGCAAATAAAACAACAAACTAATTTCCAGTATTAGTTGGCTCATTCCTTTTGTTGAAGATAGGTGATTGCGTGATATTCTCCAATACCATTTCTCCATAGTCACGAAAGAGCCAAGCTATAACATTGGTTATCAAGAGAACCATGCCATTAGAATAACGGAACCGTAAAGACTTCTTCTTTTCTATTGAACACTGATTGCTTTTCTGCACTGACAATTCGGGCAATTCTTCCTATTGAGCAGCTTGAGTGTAGCTTGATTTAATTTCTACTATTGTAGGTTCATCAGTTCCACCATGCTCCCCCACCCTGTAGATTCAATCGACAAGACAAAAACTATTTATTGTCACTAGACAATACACTACATAAACATTTGTTCGTAAACCTCGAAGCACAATGTGTGATTGTTCTTTACGTTATAAACAGTCAACGACTAGTTTCAAACCCCAGAATTGGATAATTTTAAAAATGCATTCAGTTGGTATAAGAACAGATCTGCCAAAAAGGATAATCTGGAAAAATCTGTCAAATTTTGTTCATCTACCGAAGTACCAAGCAAGCAATAGGAGTCATTTCTACTTTTGGGTTGTTCACCTCAAGGAATAACATCAAAAAAACCCTATAAAGAATTTAACAATGAACTATACTTGTAGATCGCCCTCGATGTAGAAGCTACGTACATCCACTCACCGCTGAAGATTTTCACTATAATAGAGAAGAAGACAACAAATTTTCCTCACACCTCTCTTGCACACGAAAATGGCTCCATAATAAGTTTTTTATTTTAATCAGAATATTAAGTCAATCTGTAGTCGAGGGCAAGTGTATAGTATGATCAAGCTCCACACTCAAACTATATCGGCCTAAGAATCAAGAATCCTCAGAGAAGCATGGAAATTGGTAAAAGTTGGCAATGACTCTTCAAGCTAACTAAACCACCCACCTACCCAGCTTCTTCATCACATTGTTCACAACAAATGCAATTCAGTACATAAAATTTATTCAAGAATCACAGCGGCACAACAATGTGAAAATCAAATGATACAAATAGCTCAAAAAAAGTCCAGCTGAATAGTTGTAATTAACTGACCTTTTCTTTCTTGTTCCTGGAATTCAGACTTGGGAGTGGCACACACTACAGCAAGAAAGAGAAGCTCCTTATAAATTAAAATAAACTGCTACAGAAGCACCTCACTTTTGATTTTTCAAAGAAAGAATAAATTAAACTAATTTTCATTATTATTTAACATATCTGTTTTTTGTTGTGATATTAATCAATTCAGAATGTAAGTCTGCGGTCTCCAACCTTCTAGTAATTTTGTGCGAATTACAAACAAATATTCATTTCAATCAGAATCACTCACGAATAGAATTTTCATTGGTGATCATTTACTCTTATTAGTTTTTCTATTATTATTCTCGAAAAGGCTCCATTGATAATTTTTCCGAAGGTCCCAAATTGCAAATTGCTTGAGCCGCATCTGATTACTCACTATCTAGGCCAAGGGGAGTAATCTTTTCGCCTCGAGGTACGATAACATATGCATTGATTCTTGTAGTATATATTACAACACTAGCTAGACATGACATCCTAAACACTACTAAACATCTCCCGCATAACAGTTGTACATGTTTTAGTACCTCATATTCTCAAAACTCCAATAGTAATATATTTTGGTTTGGACATTTGGTCGAGAATTAAACATTCAAAATACTATGTACAAGGAACTGAAAAAGAGAAACGAATAATGGAAACAAAAACCATTGTGATAGAAAAGTCTGTTGGCGTGTTTGAGTGTCGACAAAGATTGAAGCAATGGGACAAACATGTGAAAACAAAATGGGTTGAACCAGTTTTCTTGGATTCTAGAAAGAATGGGCCAGACCCCCGCTGCGCGTTAGTAGGAAATCACTGGTTACGGTTGGAGAAAACTGGACGGTTATGCTATTAAACATCCTTTTATGAGTGTGTTTGAGTCACGTTATTTTAGAATAATGTATTTTAAAATAGTAGATTTTGGCTATGATTAGTAATATTTGAAAGTTTTCTATTATAATTTTTTTTGTCATGACATGTAATGTATAAGGAATGTTGTTAGGTGAAATGATTGGGTTTAGGTGGTGTCTTCTTGGGTGAGTCGGAGTAATTTTTTGGCTATTGGATTTGGTGAAAGTTGGGGAGAAAATATGCTGGCAAGTGTGTACAGGGCAAATTTGTGTACTCATTTCAAGCTCCAAAATGTTATGAATCGAAGAATATTCAATTTCAGGAGTGACTAAGAAAGTAGGAGAGTGTTTGGTAGGGATTTTTGGGGGAAGAATTGATTTTTGAATAGTGATATGATGGGAAATGTGTGGTTGAAAAAGATGAAAAAAGTATTGATGTTAGTATTACATAATTGAACCTGCATACATGCCTAAGAGAATGAGCAGCCAGATTAAAGTAAAACAAATTAAAAGTAGAAGAGATTCAAATTATTCATACAATGGTAAGATGGGACAAGAATTAAAAGTATTTCATTAGAAACGAGGAAAAAAAAA